CATGTTGTCTTTGGACTATTTTGCACTTTCTTTACTGATTCTCACCATTCTAACAGGTACGTTACAATCTGTGTGTTTAAAGAAACACATTTGAACTGTGATGATTTATAAAAGAATAAAACATGTTTCTGTTCCTTTAGGTGTCAGCTGTGAAGATCTCACTCCAACCAACAAAGAAGTGTTCAGTGTAGAAGGCAGCACAGCTACTCTGTCCTATAGATACTCCAAAGCTGCTGATGGGAATGATTATTTATTCTGGTATCGACAATATCCTGGAAAACCACCAAAATTCCTGATCTCTCACTTAGGAACAGGAGTGAAACTGTCAGATCCAGTCCCTGGAATAACGTTTAAAGTGAGTGAAGATAAAACACTGATGAGTCTTCAGATCTCCTCTGCTGCAGTGACTGACTCTGCTGTGTACTACTGTGCTCTGCGGCCCACAGTGACAGGAAACAGCAAAACTCTGTACAAAAACCTTTGGCGCAAACAGTATACTCCACAACATCCACTAGAGGGAGCCACACACTGTTAAACCACTGATTCAAGTTGAGACAAGTGAGCTTTATTTGTATGCCCTAAAACTTTTGCGTGTGTCCCTGCTGCAACAGACCTGAATAAAATTAGTAGGTCATTTACAACACTACAGGCTTGAGGAGATCTGCGAAGGAGATCTGAAGGAGGTCTGAAGTGTAACCTTGCGCCAACCTTGGCTCAAGGTTACATTTCATTATTCATTATTTGTTTAAACAAATAATAGAACCTTGAGGTAGATTCTGTATTTAGCTGGCAGCCAAGTATCAAAGTAACACTCTCTTTCAGATCTTTAGATCATAAGAAAGTTTTGCGTTTAGAAATGCTCCTGAGCTGTAAAAAACTGCCACGAACAACCGAGTTTATTTGTTTGTTCAAGGTTCAAGGTTCTTTATTTGTCACATGCATAGTTATACAAGTATAACACACAGTGAAATGTAGCCTGACACGCTCCTCAACTTGTGCAAGAAAAAGGGGCGGGTGGCGGGTAGAGAAAGAGCATTCTAAGGAGCTTGGAAAGAAAAGCGTCTGGACTTGATTAAGTGGCTTGAAGATGTTTCACCTCTCATCCGAGAAGCTTCTTCAGTTCTAAGGGTCAACCACCGCCTCTGTTCAGAGATGGTCGCTCACAGTGGACATAAATGGCTTCTTTCACTGAGGCCGGATGGCTTGGGGATAGAAGCTCCCCTTGAGTCTCTCTGTCCTTGCCCGGATGATGCGGAACCTTCTGCCGGATTGCAGAAGATGGAACAGTTCGTTGCCAGGATGGGACGGGTCCTTTAGCATCTGCGCTGCTCTAGTCCGGCATCTCCTGGTGTAGGTGTCCTGAAGTGGGGGGAGAGCAATCCTGCATCAGCATTCTGCTGCAGGATTGGTCACAGGTCACAGATATCAGACTACTCTTCAAAGAGGAGGGAACTGGGATTCATAGTACGTGCAAAGAAAAAACATGAATACAGCTAAAGCGTAAACCGGCTTATTTAAATACATGTATTCTATCTAAAAACAACATCCCATGTGATCATCACAGATTCGGTTTGAAAATTCCAGCGGAAAGCTTCAATTATTAGGAATTATTCAAGACTACTTGTCGTTTTCAGGTATTTTCTCTCGTTCATTTTTACAGCGAAAAAATGCTTTGAGTATGACGCTTATGTGTAAGTTTGTTTGGGAAGGTCTGTAATCGCTAATCTGCATTTCAGACATTACTGCCACTTTCCCACACGGTCAGTCTCTTTGCTGACATCATGTTAGTCTAGTCACCTTCTCGCCCATCTTCTTTGAGCCAATCAGGTTCCAGAATATCGAGGTATGAACTTTGGCTATATCGCCCATCCCTAATCTGAAACATCTTAAGGACCGAGCTCAAGTGGCTTTACAATGACAGCATTCAGGTGGGAGGAGTCCGAGTAATGAAATAAAGTAATGGCAGGTGTGCTTTAATTTAATGCATGCAGAAGCTAACAGAAATAACCTATAAAAATCTATTCAACGGTTAGAAAGGATACAAGTACAATGCAAGTAAACCATTATCTTCATTTAACCCTAGTCTATTTTAGTCCATTTTTTAAACCCTTTCTTGTAAAGTGGTGCTGGATGAAAGATGAGCTCTGGAAGGTCCCCATGATGCAGGAAAAACACCTTTTCCTCACACTGTGCTGACGAGCAGAGAAACACCTGTGCAGCTACAGGAATGAGGTCTTTGAGCAAGGCTGGAAGATTCCAAGGGACACAATCGAAACTTTCTGCTTTACTACTGTCAAAATATTCATCCATTAGTTACTGCAGTGTACATAAAACACAACAAAACAAAGACCCTCCCCCATGCTGGTCCTGCCTACCCAACCTGATGATCCCATTAGCACAACACGCCTACATTCTTACAAAAGTCAAAAGTTAAAAAACGACAAAAAACAAAAATGAAAAAATATGTCATCCTTAATGAATGGAATAACCAAAAGTGATACAGTGAGATGCAAAAGGTTGGGTAACATTGTTAATAGTCATTATTTTCCTGTATAAATCGTTGGTTGTTACAATAAAACATGTCAGTTAAATACATCATATAGGAGACACACACAGGGATATTTGAGAAGTGAAATTAAGTTTATTGGATTTACAGAAAGTGTGCAAAAATTGTTTAAACAAAATCAGGCAGGTGCATAAATTTGGGCACCACAAAAAAAGAAATGAAATCAATATTTAGTAGATCCGCCTTTTGCAGAAATTCCAGCCTCTAAACGCTTCCTGTGGGTTCCAATGAGAGTCTGGATTGTGGTTGAAGGTATTTTGGACTGTTCCTCTTTACAGAACATCTCTCGTTCATTCAGATTTGATGGCTTCCAAGCATGGGCAGCTCTCTTTAACTCACACCACAGATTTCAATAATATTCAGGTCTGGGGACTGAGATGGCCATTCCAGAACGTTGTACTCAAATTGAGTTTCAACTTTGCCACAGAGAAATATATCAATAAATAAAACAGCTAAAATTCATTTTTTGATAGTCACCATATTTTCATTGACGCATTTGATGAGAACAGATTAACCCTATAACACCCTTAGTGTCATATTTGCTACATTAGTTTCTAAGACCTCTATCTCATCAAAACAAAAACATCAAATTATCAAAAGGGAAACAAAAAGTATATTTCTATTATATATCATAAACAACATGACATTAAAAATGTGGATTTTGTTATAAGAGTTATTAAACATCTCAGCCCCGCCCCAGAAAAATGATTTATTTTTAGAATTGATGGATTGGGTCTTACAGGGTTAAATCTGCCTTATACATGATAAACATGGTATTTAAAGGTATCTAAACTCTGAAAGTACTCATGTGAACCTGTATAAATTCTCAGATATTCTTCCACGCTTGGCTTCTCGGACATTATTCTCTAAATTTTTCAAGACTATGATTTCTCACCTGTGTGAGTTTTCATGTGGCGCCATAAATGACTGCTAGATGTGAACATTTTCCCACATGTTTTACAATTATACGGTCTCTCACCTGTGTGCGTTCTTCTGTGTGCCGATAAATGACTACTACTTGAGAAGACTTTCCTGCATGTTTTACAATGGTACGGTCTCTCACCTGTATGCATTCTCATGTGTATGGTCACACCACTGCTTCGCGTATAACTTTTCCCACATATTTCACAAGAATATGGTTTCTCACCTGTATGGGTAGTCAAATGGCCTTTAAGTGTTGATAACATACAAAACTTTTTCCCACACGTTTCACAAGAATATGGCTTCTCACCTGTGTGGATTCTCTGATGTCGAGTCATTCTGTACTTATACTTAAAGGATTTTCCACAAAGATTACATGTTATAGACTCGTTACCTGTGTCAGAATTACTCTGACTTTCTAAGTTACTATTTGTCCCTGAGTCTAAATTCCTACTTCCTCCGTGATTTTGGCTCTCATCTATAGGAGAGGTTTGAAAAGGGAGCTGGTTACTGTTTGCTTCTGGTTCATGGTGGTCTCTTTCCTCAGCAGCAGTCACCATAAAGGTATCAATCTCCTCCTTCAGTCCAACCTGCTCTCCCTCCTGACTGGTGCAGAGTTCCTCCTGTTCCTCTTTAATATGTGGAAGTTCTGGTTCCTCCTGGTGCAGAGAGTTCCTCTCCTGGCTCCAGAGCTGTGGCTCAGGGAGAACCTCCTCGTCCTTACAGACAGGCTGCTGTGGAAGTTCTGGCAGGACAAAAAGGAAATGAGGAAAAGGTAATGATGATAGACTGAGAGCTCCTTTTTTTTTTTTTTGAATCTGCTTTTCTTTACAGAATCTCAAGAGATTATGAGAAAAACAGCGACCCAGGGTTGGATGTAACTTATAGCTGATTTTGTTTTTTGTTAGTGCATTTACAACTGTTGAAGTATTGCAGATAAGGTGGGTCCAAGTTTTTGTCAGAGTCTGCGCAGTAGTTACTTGAGGTGGAGCGTCTACATTACTTTCCCGCCCATACACCTGCTGGACGTGACCACGAAATCGCCGACCTTTAGATTTTATGTAGCCCGGCTGCTCCCACTGATGACTCATTAAATTAAGGTAAATACAACCACATTGCTCCTATTTATAAAAACAAAGAAACAAAAACCCAAACCCTCCAAACAAACAAAAAATGTTATATGTTGTTACACCCCGGCCTAGGCAACCGGGGTGCAACGTAGAAAAACAGAAATAAGGAAAATAAAACCACGAAGGCTCTCCACCAAAATCCCAAAAATGAAAATATCCCATAACGAAAGCATTGACAAACCCATTCACAACTATTTACAACAAACTTTTTTATTACAACACGGGGGGGAGATCGCGACCATGACATACTGAAACACAAGGCTTAAATACATAGAAGGAGCAATCAGGGAATGGACCACAGGAGGGAAACACAGCTGAGGCAAATTAGACCTGACGAGACAAGGAAAAGTAAACTGAACACACTAAGATAACACAGACTTTCAAAGTAAAACAGGAAATACATGACAGTCACGCAAAAAACAAAACACTGACAACACCGAAACGTAACAATGTCTACAACATCTAACAGCACTATGTTGGTAATTTGTTAGCTACATTAGCCGCTAGCATACACATTGTGATGTGAGAGATTTATGATATTTGGAGTGTGTAGTTAGTGTGTAGTGTAGTCAATAGCTTTGTTGTGTGTGTCGAAACAATGATGCAACTGCTGAATGTCACAGTTGCTGCCAAAAAGCCACCAAAGGCAGATTACAGAGCAAACGCTGTCGCCAGGTGGAGTGATACACCTCCGGCTGTCAGGCCTGAGGCTAAAAAGAAAGAAGAAGATACCAAACAAGGCAAAGTAAACTTTTTCTTTTTTCTTATAAATATACATCCTCTCTGGTTACTCTGGTATGAATGACTCTCAAGTACTTTATGGTAAATAATACAATATTGGAGATATTGGAGAAATTCTAGATTGAAGCCTTTAGTTCAACATATAAATGATTACCTTTGACCTTAATCGGGTTTAATTTAATGCTGTCAGAGAAAATCTCATGTGCTCTTCATGCAGCTGAAGCTGTGCATGTCTGAGATCAGCAGCTTTCTGAAACAGCAAACTAAGTTACTGGAGAATCTTGTCTTCGTTATCGTATGTTTTACTACTTTGATTTCAGCGTCTTCACCTCACAACTGAAACGTGCAGTTTACTTTGTGTGCACTCAAATGTAGGCAAGTCAACTAGCGCCACCTGTGGCCAAGTGCCACAGTGCATGAAGTTGATAGAGCCAGATTACCTTCTGACAAACATCCGGCTCTGGCTCTATCAACTTCTCTTTGCTCTTGACGAAGGCGGTCGCACTTTTCTCCTCTCCTTCTCCTCCCCCTTAGCTTCCCTGCTTAGCCTCTTGTGTCCTTGTCTAGTCTCGTGTTTGTTTGTATTACTTTCCCTGGAACACTCTCTCACAGTCTGTTCTCTAAAACCTAAAAGAGGATTTACGGATTTGATCAACTGGTCCCTAAATGAAATTGACACCCTTTTCTCAACGAGAAGTCTGGGCTCGGGTGAGCCTGAGTGCTGAAGATATCTACCTATTCGGAACCATGATAACAGGGTTCTGGCTGATCGGAGCTGGCTTGGCCCTTATCGAAGAATTAAGGAAGCGGAACCAGCTGTTCAAACCCCAACAAGCCTGGATTGTTTTGGCCTCCTAAGCAAAGCAGTTGTTTTGTTTTATTATTTTTTTAACTTGCGCCTTCAACTGCTTAATAAATTTAAGAAAATCCACTTTGAGCATATTTCTCTTTTCTCTCTAAATGAACCCAACATTGATCGTCACCAGTTAATGTGTAACAGCAGCAGGGATGCAAAAGATGCAGTCGGGTTTTTATTAACCCTCACAATCAGAAACGTCCCGCAGAGCTGTGATCAGGATCCTCCCTCAGAGGGACACTCACCTGTCCTGTGCAGCTTGATTTGGGGTTTCCAGGTGATATCCAGCAGTCTGCGCTGACGGTCGATCTTTTCCTCGTACTGGACGATCGTTTTTTCAAACTCCAAGAATATTTGTTCAGCAGCAGCAGTTAGTCGCTCGTTGATAAACTCTCTCAGATACTGAACTGAAGGCATCGTTGCTGCCGCAGCTCACATAACACAACACAACAGAAGAGTCTCTGCTCAGGCACACAAGAGGAAAGCTAACAGTTTTAGCGCCTTTCCTTTGTTTACTTCCGCCTGGTGTCACGTGATAAAGCTCCGCCAGAGCGGGACTGTTAACGCACCTCCCCCCCTCTCTCTTATTAATGAATGTAAAGTATTACAGAGAGCTCGGTGAGTCAGTGCAAAGCCGCTAACACCACAGTGATGTGCTGACTCTTTTCGGTCCCACACTCCCGGCTCTGTTCACACACGCGCCTTTCCTTTCTTTATTTCCGCTTGGTGTCACACGGTTTTTGCTCCGGCAGAGAGCATTTACCTTTAACTGTTCCGCTGTCGAAGATTTCTCTGTTTCAAATCAGTTTCCAGCTGAAATCAATGTTTTTCCTACATCCATGAAAAACAAGAAAATCCCAAATATTATCATTTGAATTTTGCTTTTCTGTTTTGAAATGATCTGAATGGTTTTCTTACATTGAACTTTACCGTGGTTCCTATCTTGAATCCACTGCCTCCTTAAACCGATCAGCACCGCAGACTCAGATGACATTTTTAAATCTCATTTTTATAAAAGGAGTTACTGTTTAGATTTGGTGAGTTAAGAATAAATAAAAGAAATATGTTTTCACACAGTTTAACTACAAAAAAAACCTCACAAAGTAATGCCTGAATAAAATATTTGTTAATTATTATTACTGTTTAGCTGACCGCTAATACATTTTTATTATATGCAGATGTTAAATATTTGGCCTATTGTCTATTAAATCAGATGTTCTGGTGCTCATACTTTCATTTAGATGAGATGATTTAACTTATTACTGTTAACTTTGTTCTTTTCAATTTTAGTTTTGATTTAAATTCATTGTTCGACTTTTTTTTTGTCTCTAATCATAACCAAGAGAAATTCTGTTTTGTTAAAAATTCTGTTCATGTCAAACTTAACCCTTAATATACTTAAAGAGCTCAGTGATGGGGAACATTTGGGTCCTTGTGATTGCACACAGTGAAAAGTGCTCCATCCTCCCTCCTCACAGTGATGTGCATTTATCTATGTATCCTGCAAAAGATGTAAAATGGATGTTGTAAGATACAGCAGTCATCATTTCACTGAAGACCTTGGAAGCCTTGACATGACTGGAAAGACTGAAGCAGTTCACATATGTTTTTGTCATTGGGTTGATGACAAAGACGAAAGAGAAATGAAGCAGGAAACAGGAGCTGCTGTGGAGGCACAAAACTGTTTGATTGGCTGAGATGAACTGTAACCATTATGTCAAAATGTAACTGGCCCCGCCCACTGAAATTTGGTCATTGTGCTGCAGTGGAAGAACATTGTTCATGTGCTGTCTGTCTGGCTTTAATAACTCCAAAGACATGTTGCTGCACCTCTTTTTGCTTCTATCTCACATTATAGGTGAGTTTAAGAACAGGGATTAAAGTTTAGTTGAAGCTGCTGCATTAAGCAGATATACAGACTGCATTTCACTACTTTTCTTCTTTCTTTTTCCAGGACTAAGATGTCAGTGTGGATTAAAACTGAAGAAGAGAAAACAGTAGAAGAATCTTCTTGTATCTGCCAAAATGTTTCATGACTGAATTTTAACACTGGGAGTTTGGAGAGTGTGGAGTCCTGATATCCGGTGTAGTGGTGCAGTGTGGGGAGAAGAATCAGTAGGAAATGAGACATTGTTGGTCTTTGCAGGTTAAAGTGAAGCTTTGAGACTTAAAGTGACTTCAGACTGAACTTCAACAACGTGTGAAATGGATCTGATACCATCAATGATGGCGCTGCTTTAAATGTCCAATCAGAACACAGAGGAGAAACTCTACCTATGACATCATCGAGAAAAAACACAAAGAGGTGATTCTTATTAAAAAATGAAGGAAAAGTTTAAACCATGCAGGAGAAAATGTGAGAATAACAAAGTAAATCTTTCAGCTGTAAAACATCATTAATGCACCAACAATGTTGGGAGTTTATTACTAGTTACTGTATTTGACTTCTGATGCTTTTTACACACATCATCACTAAATAAGGAATAAAATGTCTTCATGTCTGAACGTTCCTGCAGTTGGTTTGTGGTTGATGTGGATTTGCTGCTCATGTGAATCCTCCCACAGTGTTTCATTAGCAGCTGTAACCACAGTGACTCTGATAAAACAGGAATTAGCAGAATCCATCTGATATGAAGCTGTGCTTTGAATACCACTTCCCTCCTCTTTGAAGAGTAGTCAGATATCTGTGTTCAGGTTTTTGTACAGCCTCTTCTACACTTTGTATCACTGTGTTTCTAGAGCACAGTAGTAGAGAGCTGTGTCTGCCAGGGTTAGGGCTGCTATGGTCAGATTAGTTGATGTAGAAGATGTTTCTGATTCATATCGATTATCAGGAATTTGAGTTGTGTCCCCCTTTGCTCCTTTCCAGAGTATAAACTGAGGAGCCTGAAGGTCAGAATCATGTCTGTACCAGTGAAGGTAAATATCAACTGTCTCATAGCTACATGTGAGTGTGACAGATTCTCCTTCTGTTTTAGTGACTTCAGGTTGTTGAGGAGTGATTGAGTCTCCAGCTGTT